GACTGCAAGACATCTGCCTGAAAGTCCTGAAGGAATTCCTTGTGAATGTGAAACTGTGGGCTGCTGGCTGAGCTGTGTAAGCTGTCTGTCTTTAGTATCTCTATGCCTGAGCACTGATTGCTGAAGAATTGAGAGGTAGGCAGGACTCAAAATTTGGCCTTGCTCCAAGGGTACAGGTAAGTTGTGATGGCCCTGACCAGCCTCTCYGGGGTCTCCATCTGCAACATTTGCCCATGGGATCAGGAACCCGATTTGACCTCAGCCCTGGGCTTTTAGTCCTTGCCTGAGTTGCATTGTGGTCTGTCTCTCTTTCCCAGGTATGTCTGGCCATGGCCACAGTTTGTGTGACCCCTGGCACATGGACACACTTCCTGCCTTGACCTCATACCTGCCTGGTAATAACTGGATTGTGGCTGGCACTGACTGCCACTGCCAGGACTGCCCCTGGCCTGCAAACCAATTTCTCAGCTGGACCATGAATCTGTTTTGCCACCACAAACTCACCTGATGATCTGGACTCTCAGWTGAACCGAGTCCATCCCTGAGCCTGTCTGCTCTATCATGTTGTGGGAAATATGGGACAAGGCTTGGCAGAAGAGACTTTGTCCTGCCATTCTTTTCTCCCTTGTCTCCTGGATCCCTGATGCAGTTGGCCCACCTCTCTGCYTTGACAAGAAGGAAGCTCTCCCAGTAAAATATGTTTTCCCTGCCCCACCACTGAAGTCTCACTTTTCTGCTGCAAGTCCAGCCTTTTTTTATTGCAAGATGTCTTTCAACTTTTCCCTTCCCATTATCTGTCTCCAAGGCATCTGGAGCCCTGGCCAATGCAGCCTTTTACAATGGCACCATTTTATCAGGCTAGGGTGGGAGTTGCAAGCTGAGTTGCCTCCTGAGCAGTCCTTAGATGTATCTATAGTGACAAATAAGCCACTRAGTTTCAGTGACAGTGCTTATGTACACCATGGTTACTGGATATTTTATTTTAAAATTATTTTAAGCCTTGGAAGACAGGCTGGTAGAGATGGACAAGGTTAAAAATACAGTTTTTGTGGATCCCTGTCCCCGCGCTGGGCTGGAAAGGCACTGCCCCAGCATTGCTCTGAGGCACTGGGATCACTGCTCATGGATTCCACTGGATTAGCACAGCCTCTTGAAGTCATTCTGCCCCCAACACACCTAACAGCAACGCGAAGGGAGTAGGCTGGAGTGGGACTGAGCAGAATGCTTTGAAGCAGGTACCCAGATGGTCYGTGGGTGAACAGAGATTTCAGGAGTGAGGGTTTTGACAAAGATGGGGARTGTACCTCGGAAGCACTTCTGGGGAGCAGGGCCTGGGGCTCATGGTCACTGTTGTGTTATCTGGAAAGTGAGGGGGGACATTGTACGGCATTGTCAGGAATGCGGCCAGCAGATTCCTCAGTGATGGGGTAGCATGAATGACCTCAGAGCACAAATGGTCTGTGCAGCTGGTGCACTCCTCTGAGCATCCTGCCTGTGCCAAGGAGAGCTCAGGGCCCCAGCTCTCCTGGGAGRCAGCCCACACCTTGTAGTGCCCTGCAGACTGTCTGCTGGGGCTGGGGGGAAAGAAAGTGTTGGCAGCTCACACAGTTATTAGCAGTAGAAGCAGAAGGGCAACAGGGTAAGTCAAAGAGTGATTCCCACCCCAGTGTCAAGCACAAAACTCGATCTGAAAATTTAGTGCTGGAAATGCAGGGATTGTGATGGCTCTGAAAMGCTACTATCAGAGATGTTCTGGGTGAATTCTTATAGTCAGTTTGCAAATATAGAGACAAACTGAACATTGTCATAGACTACAATATTAAAAGAATCATGCCACTTTAGGCCCTGGTAAAGGAACTTGACGTTCATATTTCAGCAACTTCCTCTCAYACATCCCCTGTTGATAAGCCTCCACAAAGTGTGGAGTGCTCTACTGGATTCAAGTGGCATCAAATCTTCCATCCCCCTAGATGCTGTTGGTGCCTCTGATAGTACAAAATGGGAACTAAGGAGCTATGTGGGGCTGGGTAACTGAAACACGAGTGCAGATTTCCTCACCCARCTCCTGTGGCAATCATCAGAATCATTAGCCAAGGATGTTGAGAAAATGGTTCACACTAATGCCAACACTTGAGAAACTGAGTGCCCTGTTGAAAATGTGTCAGAACAGCTACTCCCCTCCATGGTTCTTAGAGTACTTGCTGGAGTACGATGGATTTCTCTTTGAAGGGTCAGTGTTCCTTCACAAACACACATCTGGCACCATCTGACTATAGAGCACTCACTATTAGGATATCAAACCTATCCTTTCGAGCTGTGTACAGCTGTACTTGAAGAACTGCTGCTGTTCTGATGTGAATGAAACAGCCTGTTGTGTGCACACTAAGGAGAAGTGATAACAGAAGAGAAAGAATGAAAAAGAGAGCCCTTCTTGACCAGTCCCTTTGCTGTAGCTACTTTAGTCCAGCTGTTCCTCATGCAGTAGTCACTRCTGTGACTTTGTGACACTGGCTGCCATGTCTGGCTCTTGGAAATGTTCATGTTCKATTATTTTTCTGTGTCCTGTCTATACTGAGCCAGACATGCCAGASACAGGATATTCATCATGCTAAACCAACCATAATTCAGAGGAGGAACGGGATGCATTTTCATGCAGTGTTTATTACACATTATAGGCCATCCCCAGTGCTCCCCAATGCTTGTGTGTTTCACTGAAATGGGTTTACCCTGGCTGGATGTCAGACACCCACTRAAATCTCTCTATCACTCTCCCTCCATGGCTGGAYAGGGGAGAGAAAATMTAACTAAGGGTTCATGGGTTGAGATAARGACTGGGATATATCACTCACCAATATTGTCATGGGCAAAACAGGTTGGAATTAGAGATAATAATTGAATTTATTGCTAACAGAATCAGAGCAGGATTATGAGAAGTAAAATAAGACTTTAAAAAACACCTTCCCTACACTCTTCTCTCCTTCCTAGCTCTACSKCCYCCACAGYCTGGGACCAAACTTTCCAAGACACTAAGGCAGTTTTGATTACATCATATTTCCATATTCTGTCAGTGTTGACTTTGACCAACACCTTGGCTGCCAGTTGGACAAAATGTGTGCATGACAGAGGTGTAGGTCTTAAATTATGGAGGCCCTAAAAGGCTTCGTTAGTAGTGCAGCAGCCCTAGAGCCTCCAACAGCTGTCCTGTGCCCATGCTCTGGGAATGGAGGTCAGGGATTCTCAAACACACATGTGATACACAGTACGTGACATATTCCCTGTTAATGAGGAACGCAGGACAAGCCCTGCAGATGCAGTGTCAGATGAATGGCAGATCAGGGGCAAGCCCTCAGTGAAATTGCTACTTGTCAGTGCACTCCAGGTAAGGCTGTGGAAGAGGTCTCTTCTCTAAACCAAACCCCTCAGCAGGTGCCCAACTCAACAGGAATGCATAAAGGAGGGATTCTGTCTCTCAAAAAATCARCTGGAAAATCAGGAAGAATTTTGTTCCTAGATCTGGAGTAAGACAGTAATTGGAGAGAAGGAGAGAGGGACTGGGGGAGTCAGGGAACTTGGACTCATTTCCCAGCATTGCATTGCAACTGTAAGTTATAGCAAGTCCCCAGGGACATTTTTCAGTTCTGACTTGTCTCTCAGGCAGAGGCAACAGTCTCTCACACTTTGTACCAGAACACTATATAGGGTCCATATTCCTGGAGAGCAGTGGTTAAACTATGCCATTTATCCCAGTGCTGAGTTCTTGGATATTGGATAGGTTTCTTCTGTACACTCACATCACCSCGAGCTGTAATGTTCCTGCCTATAGGGACTTTGCACATTGAAGATCTTTCCCACTCACATCTTCCAGAATGGACGTGAAGGAAGGCACAGCCTTGAATGGCACAAGACCTTTGGGTCATMAGCAAAATAATCTCTCTCCCCACCTCTTTATCCAGAAGCACATGGACAGCTGGGAGCCTGACTGTGCTACTTCTCTGGCCCTGTGATTTGCACCGTCTCTGAGTGGCGGCAGACTGGCTCTTCACAGGCCTGTGCTGGCAGTTCAGTGCATCTCACCTTGCTGCCCTGTGTGGGGCAGAACACTGAGTGACAAGCTCTTGGCATAATTATTCTCCCTTCTGAGATCAGGTGAGAAGGTTCAGCCCTGTGCTGGAGCCCCAGAATACTTATGTTAATGGGGGCTGCTCTTTTCTCTTTGACTGACTTTCACCTCTCCCAGCTTTCCCCACAATTTTGTGCCCCAGGGGTGTGCCGAGGCTTATCACTACAAGTGCTYAGCATGGCCGTGGCTCTAGGGGACAGGGAAACGAGTGAGGTGACACATCTGTGTCACAGCTGCATGCACCACTGCTTCACACACACAAACCGATCCACTTCCTTGAGGGAAAAAAAGCAGTGTCTAAGAGCCAGGATCTAGGACCAGCATGGTGTCCATGCACTCAGGAGCTGCTTTCATCTCTGTGCTCCAGTGACAGAAGGAAGAGTTTGCACGGGAGAACACTTGGGGGGACAGGTACTGAGAATAGGTGAAATGCTTGCAAGTCATAGTTACCATTAATATTTCAGCTTCACCATAATGCTCTGTAATATCGGTGTGTGTGAAGAGCCTGACCCACTGGGGCCCCAGAGGGGTCTTTGACCCTGCCATGGTCTGTGCCTGGTGTTCAATGCTCACTGATGGGCCACATGTGGTAGCCAAGGACAAGCACCGGCAGCCCACAGTCGTTCTGATCCCTACCATCAGGAACGGACTCTTGCTTGGCACAGCCCCAGAGCAAGGACCACGTTCCAGCCCAGGGAGCTGCTCTGCTCCCTCAGCCATAAGGAGAGCAAAGGGCTGAACAAGGTGGGTCTGCCAATGGGTCCCTGGGGGTTTGCATTGTTATGGCYGGAGCAGAAACAGCCCCACCCCGAYTCCYGAAACACATTCCCCTCAGTAAGAGGGCAGATGGCGAGTCCGTTTCTCCCCCTTTCCCCCTGTTTCCTTYCCTCCCGGAGGTCACCTTCAGCGGGAGGCAGTGTGCCCCCAGGCYCAGAGCCATGGGGACGGGGCGGAGCGTCACGCTCAGCCCGGTAGCTGCTGGCAGCYCCCTGCGGCTGCTGGCGCAGCTGAGCCCGGCGGCTGCGGCGAGGGGAGCGAGGCAGGCACGGCTGGCTGCCTGTCCTGCGCTGCTGGAGAAGGTGAGAGGCTTAGTGCCGGCGGGAAAGGAGAGTGGGAAGGGACGTTAGAGCGCTGGCACGATGAGAGAGACTGGACAGGCATGTAAAAGGGCACCCACCCCTTTCAAACTGGTTTTGGAGACTTGAGCGTAGCGTGYCGGCACAATGCGGAGCGCACCCATTTCCCACAGTGGGTTGATGGAGAGCTCCTTGCCTGGAAGGTTGTTTTGTGTCCACTTGTGCCCGGTGGGATGGTGCTGCGGTACTGGCGGGTTTGTTGGGAGGAAGRTGTGATGTGGCTTGGTCCCAGTGAGATTGCTGCCGGTGTCTGTCCAAGGAGGCTGTTATGCGGAGGTTCTGGTGTGCTGCTTGCTGGGGAGAGCCTTGGGGGCTCTCCGGGGAGGCTGCTGCGTGTCTCTGCCCCACAAGAGTAATGCACAGTTCTGCGACCGGGACAGTCATGTTCTCTGCGGCGAGATTAAGCACTGCTGACCAGTTTTAGAAAGAAGCTCATAAATCTACCAGCGATAAAGCCAGAAGCAAACATTGCGATAATCTGTTCTTATACCTTGSCATATTAAATGGTTTGCACCAGAGCGAGTCTTTTAGGGAAAGCCAAAAGTTAGGGRAAAAGGTGCCATTCTTGAGCCAAAAGTTACGGAGATGGAATAATTTTGATACTCTATCCTGTTTGATGAAATTTTTAGGAGCAAATATCCTTCTTCACAAAATCTGCCCCACAATGGGCGTCTAAAATGACCTCACTTCAGCTGCTTCTATTKGTTTTATTATAATGCTTTTACTTAACCCTTTTTAGTGAACTGTTAATACTCAGAAAGGTCTATACAGATAATAGAGTAACTTCTTCRCTATYCRTTTTATAAGCCATAAAGACAGCTCYCCTGGAAGTTTTCCCTTGATGTCATGACTTTCTCTGGTCCTTTTTCTGTCAAACCGGGGACACCAGTGCTTGCTTGATGAGCTGAGCTCACCGATATCATTAAAAAGCCAGTAACTGGTTCTGTTGATCAGCTGGCCTCCAGAAGWGTTCAGGAAATTTACCCAGGCTTTCTTCACATCAATATATGTTTAACATTTCAAGAAACATCATAAAAAATTAGATAAAGAATACAAAGCAGAGCAAATGGAGAAAATGAATTTATTATAGAAATACAAATTCCACTGGTGTGTGATATTCTCAATTGTAGTGCAGAAGCTGTTAACAGGTGGCCAGCTCTTCAGAAATACAGCTTCCCTAACTCAGCTGATTTTCAGAGATTAAATTTCAGACTATCTCATGGCATCTGTATGTAGGAACCTCTGCAGAAATTGGAGTTCAGTGTAAGAGGCACATCGCCTCTTTTGTTACAATCATCTTAACCTACGTAAAGCTGAACAGCTGCCTCTACTTTATTTTTTTTTATTTTTTTTTTTGTTTACAGTGAAGCTTACTGTCTTAATTTAGCATCTGGAAAACGCTAGTTTGCCTCTCTCTACTGATGTTTTCTGCATCTGATTCTTTTGAGGCATTCTCTTCATCAGAGTGAATGCAAAAGTGGAATCTGCAATATCAGTACCCCTTATACTTGTTATGCTTTTAGACTTGTATCTGTATCATTGAGATGTGTATCTGTATCACTGTAGATTATTTCTGCTGCAGTTCTGTATCATCCAATGTCTTAAGGCCTGCAAAGGAAGTGAGGCTATACCAGATCTATATTTCTGGATTTACATAGTGCTCATTTAGCAGCATGAAGAGCCTAGATATGTCTGATTAATATGACTTTCCTTGTTTTTTTTTCTTTCTTGTCACACATCCAATGCCATACTAAAATCATGACTGCTTTGATCATTTGAAACACTTTTGTATGTGTGTATGTGCATGCACTAGTTTTATGAAGCAATACATTGTCTACCCAAAACCTTTTTGTGACAATCGCAAGCAATTTCTGGATGTTTTCAGTGTTTACTTCTAGATCATTGACAAAGGTAAAAGGATTATTATAACAGAGTCAGGATTAAAAAAAAAATAATTTTATAGGGTGAGAACAGCAATAAAATGTAATATTTCCCACTATATACTGGGCTTTAAAAAATTAATTAAAATGTGTGGCTTATTGATTTAGACCAATGGCAGGATGAATTTGTACAGGTAACKTTCAGGAAATGACCAGTGAATGGGCATTTCTGGCAGGTGCCATATGAACCAATATAGGCCAGGATGAGAACAGCTTCAAACCAACAGTTTAGAGGTTGGTGGGAAGTGCCTGCAGGTGGGGTCCTTACACARCCCCTAAGCAAAAGTTTGGTAACAACTGAGTGAAGCAATCTGAATTACTTGGTACAATAAATCCATTTGAGCAAAATGTSCTTTACTAAATGTGGTACAAAAATATTCAGGTAGAAACAAGGTAAGCAGCAYCCATAAAGGGACATGAAGAGGAAGYGAATTTTTTCACCAACTCTCYCTAGTGATTTGGAAATAATTTGGRAAAACTCTGGACTCATAATGGATGTATAAGGTAGTGCAGCCTGTGTGCCATTCCTACAAAAAGAGATCTTGAGGCCACAGCACGAAGCAGGGGGTAATTCTAGCTGAATGTGTGACGGGAGGCATTGCCCGCAAGACAGACAGAGTTTAACTTGGGGGATGGGGAGAGAAAAATGATGAGGCTTTAGAAAAGAGATCTGAAAGCTGGACAGTTGGGTTGGACAATCTGAGACCTTGATTTGACAATTAGACAGAAGGTTATTTGAAGGCATGGAACCAATAAGAAGACTTGAGAGGTGTCTGATCAGAGAGCACAGAGATGCTTCTTCTCAGTTCAAAATGTGACCACATCTTCTGGAAGCATCACATCTGTTTTTCAACTAGCTGATGCAGGCACTACAGAAACTCAGTGTGCCAGATGCTTTGTGAAGCCTAAGTAAAACATCAGTTAAATGCATAGCTTGAGCTTCAGTCTCATAATTTTACTCAGTGTAATTAACTGGAAGTATGAGACAGTGCATGTAAAAACTGYGAGAGTCCCGAGAAATTTAACAGATATAAAAAACCTCTTTTCTCTATCATCTGAGAAGCTTCAGCAGCAGGTTARGTAAATTCAGATTAGGATGTCATGTAACAGCAATAATGCTCACACTGGCTTTTATAATTGACCAATTGCCTTTGTATCAAGTCTGAATGACTTTTTGTAAGAGATGCCCCAGATACTGTTTGTTATTTGATTTGTGTTAAGGCTCTGTAGAAGGTCAGACAAGAAAGTGAACTCCACATACCAYATGTGAAGGCCATTTTTAATAGAGTATCTTTGATATGAGAAGAGGCTGAAACAGCTGAAACTCTTTGTCTTAAAAAGAGAAGGCTCAGAGGGGATCTTGTTGGTGTGTRTARATATCTGATGGGAGGGAAGCAAATGGAGCCAGACTCTTCCAACCAGTGATCACTGATGGGAGTCTCCATCTGTGGAGATATTGAAGGCCTGGTTGAACACCTTCCTAGATAGCYTGCTTCAGTTGCTGCTGCTTGAGCAGGRGAATTGGATTAGATGACCTCAGTAGGTCCATTCTAACCTAAAGACCTCTGTAATTCTGCCATCATAGCACGATGTCTGTTAAACAGAGATCACACTGGCTTTGGCTTTTGACATGTAAATGCCTTTCTGCACTAAATATGTTAATAATTTTGCTTGAAGAGCCAGAATAACATTACCTGAACTAAGACATTGTATCTCCGTAGGCTAGATCCTCCTCAGCTTTTGAGGTGATTCAGAAGCATCTTGTGATGGTGTAAAAGATGTGAGTTTTTGGTGCTGTAATTAGGGATTTTTTTTAAGAATTAGAGCTTCTCATGATCAGCAGCCTGAAAAACAAGACCCCTAGCAGTGATGAAGCACAGAAAAGACAGTTGAGGAAAGAAGAGTTTTGAATAGGGCTCTGCCTGCTGCCTTCAATACAGCACAGCCAAAAGGTGAATGCACCCTGGCCAGGGGCCTGGAGACCTCCTCCTCAGTGCTTGTCAGTCTGCAAAGGAAAAGTGACATACCTGTAGAAGGTATCAGAAGTAGGTGCAGAGCACCCAGGCACACTCTACTCAGCGGTGACCCAAATCTGATCCTTGCCTTCCTACCTAATCACAGAGGCATCTCAAAGAAACACCTGACAATGTCGGCTATTTTCTCAAGTGTAGACTTTGTCTTGTAATTAATCACTTCAAGGGCAGCAAAGGCTAAAGTCTGAAAAATGTTCTGAAGTGACTGCAGTTGGGGCTTCCTTCATATGGTGCCCTGATCAGACCCAGAGGTCACAGATCCTCAAGGAACTCTACCCATTTCCTCCGGATGATCTGTTCTTCCAAGCCAGCTCATTTGCTTTAATGCTCTACTCTGAGCCTGAACCATTTGCCCTCCCATGCCCGTGGGGCCATGAATGGAAGTTCCACCTATACTGCAATTGACTTGAATTGTGGGGTGGAAAGATACAAGAGTTTTTGCGATTTGGGTTGTTTTGGGCTTTTCTTTCGCAGAAGTTTGTGGACTGAAATGTTTTGACTTGCTAAAGTGAAGTGAGAACCAAGAACATACAGAAAAGCACATCCTCCCATTCACAAAAGCAAGTTTCCACATAGTAAATAGGAAAGAAATGATGACTCATATAATCATGTTATAAATAATTCTATGCAAATAAAAACATATTCATTAATATATATTCATTAATAGATATTTGAAAAGCAGGTAACTATTGAATAATATTTAAAGTTGATGCAGCTAGATTTTAAACTTTGTGCTAAATAGCGGTCATAAGCGGCCAGGATACAAGGGAAGAAATTTTATCTAATTCAGGTTCAAGAATTTCAGTTATCTAAGAAGATTCTGAATAATTTTCTGACTAGAACTTGTAAGGGACCATGAATTTGATATAGCAGGAACACTGTCTTGCAGAAAAGAGCTTTTGATTTTTTTTCACAAATATTTATGTAATGTTTACTTCAAATGACAAGCAGGCATTTCTCCTGTTGTTCCACTCCCTATGTAATGTGGCTTTTGCTCATCTACTATCAAAGGGAGGTCTATGTCTTTCCCAGGTCTATTACATTTTAGTTTTTTTCTCTATATTCCACCTAAATTTTTATCTCTATAACACCTAAATGCAGAAGCAGCGGTTTGGAAGTGCTGTTGGCAGGGTGGGTCCATTTGGGGATTCTGAGATGGCCTTGCTGTCTGGAATTTCACAAGTCCTGTTGGCTGGTCAGCAAACAGAAAGACATCAAAGCAAAATCTCTAAAATACTTTCCAGACCCTCTTTCCCTGCAAGTTCTCTCCAACTTTCCATTTATCCCCTCCCATTCTAGCACTTGTTCATTGTACTCCCTACTGACTGTACTAACTTTGACTGCTGTTGGCTCTCACGCCAAGCCAAAGCCTTTGCAGAAAACTAGAGCCAATTACTTGGCACTTCTGAATTGGATAAGATTTAGAAATGCAGTCTAGGAGAGAGGGAAGAGAAGGCAAACTTTCCTGCAAATAGTCTCCTGCACAAATCCAGCCTTTTTGTAGCTTTCCTAGGTTTAAATAATTATTTTTCTAGATTTCTTTATTTTGAAGAATGGCTGGATTTAGCAGCATTTGGCTTCCTTTGCAGAAGAGAGATGTGGGCATACTGGAACAAATCCAACCTSTGAAGACAATTAAGATATTGGAGTATCGCTCATAGGAGAGGAGGCTAACAGAGCTGGGACTTGGTCAGACTCGAGAAGGCTTGAGGGGATCATCTGTTTGATGCATATGAACCTGCAAAAATGCACAGCCAGGTGCATCACAGTATCAGATGATCCTGAGTGACAGAACAAGAGGCAGTGGGCCTGAAACAGAACTTCTGTTTAAACATAAGTAAAATCTTTTTTACCACAAAGGTAATCAAACACTGGAGCRGGTTACCCACAGCAGTTGTGGAGTTTCCCTCCTTGTAGATTTTTAAAGCTGGGCTGGACATAGGACAACCTCCTCTGGTTAACTTCCTTTAAGCAGGAGGTTGCAGTAAAATGGTCTCCAGAAGTACCTTCTGGCCTTGACCATCCTGTGACTCTGGTTCTGTGACCTTGCTCCAAAGCCAGGAGGGACTCCCAGGCCCAAAGTGCCTTGTTCAGAGCACAAAGAGGTAGACAGGGAGAGAATGCTGCCACAGGGACCTAAAAATGCTGCCTTGTAGCTGGTTGGGGAAGGTGAAAAAACACTTCTCTAAATGGGTCGGAAGCAGCTGGCTCAAATGCCATTGATGTCCTAGCTCACTTCCTGTATAAGTTTCTTGGCTGCACAGATGAGTGATTTTGGGTCAGAAATGTCATCAGGCATGTGAGGTACTAAGCTCTCTTTGGCTTCCTCAGGGCACTGTGCCCTTATTGTCACATGCCACCTGTGCCTCTGCCTGAGGGACAGGTCTGTCTTGGCTGCTACCACAAGGACTTTCTCCACTGAGCAGTGGAGGTGGGATTCTGAGCAGGGAGATAAGGTCTTGCTGCAATAGGCTAAGGAAAGCAAGAAGGGTGACTGGGTCACACTTGAAAATCTGGGACTCTGCTAATGTTTAGCTTGTTGCCTTACATAAGGCAAAAGGATGAGAGATCTGAAGGAATTTCCCTTCAATACAGGGACCTTTTGTATGATGAAGGGCTTTGACCAGAGGTGGGATATATAAAAGTGCAAGTTCAACTCTAGCACAGCTGCAAGAGTGTTTAGTCTCCAAGTGGCAGAATTATACCCTACCCAGAATTATACCCCCAAAACATGGTTGTGTTCCATGTCTGATCTGGCTTTTACTGTGCATGCTGTGATGTTCCTGACTCAGGCTGTGTTTCTGCAGCACTCAGCAATGGCCCAGAGCTCAGCTGTGACTGCAGCAGCAGCCGGGAGAGCAGCACCAACCAAGCTGGAGGAGCTGCTGGAGATCACCGCTCAGAGCCTGGTGCGTGCGGAGGTGGCTGAGCACTATGAGGTTATCCGGGAGCTGGGCAGGGGCAAGTATGGCCACGTGATGCTGGTGACCCACAGGCAGAGAGGTAAGGAACTGGCTGTGCCCTGGAAACTACTGTGCCTTGTCTCCTCTCCACTCACCGGGGTGTGGGGTGGGCTGGTGGCACCTTGGGGCCAGGCACAAGGCACGGCAGGGAGGATTCCCAGCAGGATGGGGACCTCTCAAGCCAGGAGCCATCCCATTACATCCAGCCAGGGAGCAGGTGATGCCGGGGGCAGCCCAGAATCCCCGGCAAGGTTACTGTAATGAGGAAGGTCCGAGGTTAAGCTGGGAAGTTAATCCACAAATCAGGATCARTAGTTCACAGAAAGGCACCAGCATGGATGTGATGTAGATGGAAACCAGCAGTCCTACCACAGGGCTCCATCGGGGAGACTGAGCTGAAGTCGTGCTCTAAGGCCCATGGACAGAGGCTGTGAATGGAGTCCTGGGCCTTAGAGTGCCCTGACACTGCTGCTTCCCAGTAGTCCCAACTCAGACCGATGGGCCCACGTATCCTGAATGTTCCTGCTCTGCCCAGGGCTCTGTGCATGCACTGACTGGCTCAAAACTCACACTAGTCACAGTTCCTGTTCCCAGACCTGCTGACCACAGGGTATACCCAGAAAAGCTTTGGACTAGAGACCTCCCTGTGGCTGTGACTGGCCAGATCCATGGCTGCTCTGTCCTGCCTTGGTGTGAGTGACTTTCAGAGGAGTCTAACCCACTCCTCCCATCCCCAGGGACTCCTATGGCTCTCAAGCTGTTACCCAAAGCCAGTACCAAGCTGCAGACCTTCCTGTATGAGTATTGTGTAGCGCTGTCCCTCGCCACCCACCCTGCCATCATCGGCATGTTTGGAATTGCCATTGAGTCCAGCCAGTACTATGGTTTCCTGTATGAACCAGCGCTGCACAAAGACCTCATYTCCATCATCAAACCCCGCGTGAGTGTTGCTACAAGGGCATGGGGACTGGGGCTGTAGCATTTGTCCCCTCTGAAGGCTGGCTGTGTCAGAGGGAGGGAGATAAAGGCTGTGGGTCCATCTSGGGGCTGCAGCACTGGGGCAGCCTTGGGTTTGAGAGGTGGGAAATGTGAGCAGAGCGTCCTGGTGAGAGCCCCGCTGGCAGGGCTGCCAAGGTGCCCCATGTGTGCCATCCATCCTTCMCGCTCTCTCCCTGTTCAGGACGGGATCCCCGAGCCGGCCGCAAAGCAGTGTGCCAAGCAGCTTGTGAGCGCGCTGGAGTTCATCCACAGCCGGGGGCTGGTGTACCGCGACATCAAACCTGAGAAYGTGCTGCTGTTCGATCCCGACTGCCGCCTCGTCAAACTCACTGACTTCGGGCTCACGCGGCCCAAGGGTACCAAGCTCAAGCTGGTGGCCGGGGTGATCCCCTACACTGCCCCCGAGCTGAGCAACACCGCTGACGCCCAGGGGGTGCCCATCGATGCCAGCATGGACGCCTGGGCCTTCGGGGTGATGCTTTTCTGCCTGCTGACCGGCTACTTCCCCTGGGAGCAGAGCCTGCCGGACGACCCTTTCTTTGAGGACTTCGTGCAGTGGCAGGAGACAGGCCTGGAGAAGGACGTGCCCCGGCACTGGCAGCGCCTGACGGCCGAGGCTGCCGGGATGCTGCGGAGCCTGCTGGCTCTGGATCCGGCCAAGCGCGGCCCCGTCAGCGGGGTGCTGCGCTATGTCGAYTGCCCTTGGCGGCTGGACGATGGGCGCAGCGAGGAGGCTGCTGTGAAATCCTAGAGCATACTCCCCATGGCAGCMGGGAAGGAGGGTCTCACCTTGCAAAGGGCTTTAGGGTTTGGGGCACCATGGTGGCCTGGGCATGAGAGGCCGTGGTGGCCCAGAGAGCACCTTCTGTGTGGCACCAGCCCTGCTGCCACAGAGCCAAGCTCCTTCCCCAGCTGATGGTTCTCACCCCATGACTCCGGGCTGCCCAATGCGGCCTCTTTGTGTTTCCTTGCGGCTTGCAAATATCTCCTTTCTCTTGGAAATGACTGCTGTGTGTAAAGCATCTGCTTGTTTCCTGGCCGCAGGAACTCCAGGGAGTTATTTAGGCCGCAGCACCCGCCTTGTCTCAAAATAGAGCAAGATATGTACTTTTGTGTTTCTGTACGTGTCTCTTTTTCCCTCATAATAAATGCCTGTTGGGACTCCCTTGCCATCAGAACGCAGGGAGCACGTCAGAGCTTGCAGCCATCTCAGGACAAGCTGTGCAAGGCAGGGGAAATTCCTTGGATGCTGCCTGGGTCTGCGCCAGGGCCCTGGGAGGGGACTCAGGGTCATGGGGTGAAGGTGCTGGGGAGCCCCCAGCGTGCGGCTGTGGGTGGTGCTGGGGCATTGTTATGGTGGTGAGGTTATCTCATGCCAGCCCAAGCACATCTCTTCCCTTGTACTGCCTTCAGATCCTGGAACAATGTCTTTCATGCTCTTTAGAGGCCTARTTACCCCTCTGGAAGACCTTCCTTCTCTCCTTTCCTATCACTTTCTCAACCCTTCCCTAGACACACCTCTCCTAATGCCCTGATATCCTCCTAGGTGCACATTCTCATCCTGAAAATGGGTAGCAAAGAAAGAATAAGCATTTAGTAGCCGTCCTTACTTTTCCACCTCTTTCCAGGCCCCAGGTTTACACTGTTGGTAACAACCCTTTCCAGAATTTAACATGGTTGTTTTTCTGGAACTATTTTCAGCTCAATTTTTCTTCTCAGGGGCTTCATAACTTCTAAAAATGCAGTGTCCTAGCTCTGTACTTTCTAGCATCCCAGRTTTTTTTTCATCTCAGACCCTTTCCTGCACACACTCTTTCTTCCATGCTTCCCCCACCTCCAGCTCTCTTTTTCCAGCTTCTCACCCACTGGCATTTTATTATTATTTAACTTCCATACGAACTTTGCTTTTCTACTACCCATCAGCCAGTAAACATCCTTTGCTCACACTYCTCTCAGCAACATCACCTCTTTGCAACTATTTTGTCCTGTTCCTRCTCTCTGCATCACTTATGCCTTGTGTCTTCCTCCCAGCTCCCCAACCTACCTCGCCAACCAGCATCATACTTGCACTGTCCAAAATACAGTTTATTCCTGCTTACTTCTATCTCTTAGAATATTCTATTATTTGAAATTATAATAAATGCTGCCAACTCCAGCCTGCTGAGGTTTGGCTTTAATTAGTGTAGAAATAGAAGAGGAATGTTTAGGTGCCGACACAGTTCCTGTATTTAAAGTGAAGCCTTAAGACCAAAGGATCTAAAGGTCAGGTAGTTGGCAACTATYCCATGAAAAATAGTGGAAAATTTGTTACAGATGTGTGCTAACAGAGAATTACAGAATAGGAATGTGGCTTTTTGGAATGAGACATTCAATTTTATAATAACATTCTGTTTGATAAAGTAACTTCATAGTTTTATAGTACAGAGTTTTTGTAAGACATAACCTATTGATGAAAAGAGAATAATAAAATAATAATGTTTTATTGATTCAGAAGATGTGCTGTGCAAAGTCCATAAAATACATAATAATTGATTGAAAACTTTCAATGGAYAGAAAAAGTAACTGCTTGGAATGTTCCTTGGTTATTTTGTTTATTTCTGCGGGGATGAGTTGTTAAATGAAAACTGGACATTTCCAGCCATGATTTTAAGGGAAATATAAAGCCACTGCAGGTAAAATCCTAAAGATGACACAGACATGAATAGGGTGGTAGCAACAGGAACAGGCCACTCAAAGAGATCTGGATAACTTGATAAGTTGTGTATATTCAAACAAAATATATTTTATTACAGGCAGGAGAAACATAATCAGGTAGGAACACATAGGAATAAAAGCCATCCTTATCGAAGGACCCCTTAAAATTTGTCATGTCACAGAGGATCTACAAGATTACATGAGTTCCTTCTGAGTTGTTTCTGTCAAAAAGGGCAAGTGGGCTCCCTAATATCTGAAGAGAGGCATGCAGTAGAGGTGGTCAAATGTTCAGGAAAGGCAACTAACAAGTTTCCTGCTGGTCTAAATATGAGTGTGGGAATAGCAGTGAGTGATCAGTATTTGATGTCTCATGGGGAAATCCTGTCATCACATTTACAGGCAAGCTGGAAAACAGGAGATGGCTCAGAATACARCCATAGTGAGACTGTGGTTTAAGAYTGTAAGAAAGTCTTACAGAAAGTAGCAAGCTAAAATATCTAAAATAGGAAGACTGGATGGTGATCTGATYATGGTATAGAATATTGAGAAGAAAATATCACCTACTAATAACCTATTTTAATTTGAGAACAATTCAAGGGCAACCATGAGAAGTTGAACCAAACTACTYCAGTAGTGAGGTTCTTCCCTACTGACAGAAACCATCATACATGCAGAGGCTAAGAGAATGAGGAATGTTTAGCGTGGAGAGGACAACAGTCAGGGTGGATCTTACACTTCTTTATACTTCCAGGCACAAGTATAAATTGGGAGAGGAGAGACATTTAARCATAAGAAAAATGGCTTTATAGTGATGGTAGACAAATTTCGTAATGTTGGTTGTGTGTCTATGTCTTTGGAAGCATCCAAAATATGATTGGACAAGGCTCTGCTAAACTTTCTCTAGCTGTGTTTTTTTTTGAGAAGGAGATTGGTGTAGGCAATCTTCGAACGTCATGTCTGGTATCAACCATACTGTGATTCCACAACRTTTTTTTATTTTGAGGACACTCTGTGTTGTAGCTGAGGATGTTTATGGTTCCCATATATCTCTCCTTTGGAACTGCTCAGCATGGTCGCAGTAAAGCTTGGCATCACATGCAAAACTGGCTTGACAAGAAAGGATTAGCAAGATTTTAGGGTTTGTTTCAAATAAAGCCTGAACTGATGGAACACTGACATCTTTGAGGAAACAGATCAAGCTGCCCAATGCCATCAGGACCTGGGCTGTTTCTTTGCAGGACGCAGTTATGCCAATGAGGATCAGGGATTTGGTGCTGCCTGATAAAGATGACGTGRCAGAAACTAATGGCAGTGAGAAGTGGCAATGTCCAGGATTGTTTCTCTGTCTCCTTTGTCACAGAGCCTTGAGATTTTGGTAGAAGGTGTTTCTRCTGCCAGAAAGTTGTGTGATGCATAGCAAAGTGATGAAATCAGTACAGTGACTGCATCACGCATGTGATGATGGTGGAGACAGGGCTGCAGCGAGGCAATCTCAGATTTGAGCACAGTGGCAAAAAGCCCTGCCCTGATCCGAGTCCCCAGCCCGGGGCTCCTTTTCTCAGTACCTCAATCATAATTGGTTTTCTTAAATCAGTGAATTAACAGATCTGGCACAGACTATTCCCAGGGGATCTGGAAAAGGATCTGGTTGCCCCCATCACCCCCAGAGCAGCTGCTGGGAGAGGCTGAATGGAACGGAGCTGTGTGCAAACACGCCAGCGCTTTGCACGTGCAGCTTCTGGCTGGAGGAGGGCTGGCCAGGTGCCCAGCACCCTAAAGGGCAACATTTCAGCGGACGTAGGGATGGGGTAGATCTGGTGTCATCCCCAAAGGGACATCAGGTGGCTCTGAAGGGGAGGGAAAAACGCAGTGCTTCACTCCTCTCTGGGATGGAATGAAGAGATAAATTGGGTAATTACTGAGCTCACCACRCTATGTGAGTTCTGACTGCAGGTCCAAGAAGTGTGAATGCAGGCCCTGGTGCCCTGATGCCTGCAGCACGCTGCATGTGCAGGCTGGGAGTATAGATTCCATGGCTTTTGGTGGGACATATGATCTGTATTTCTGGATCCCCTTGTGCACCTCACTATTGATTCCGCTTCCACTTCTGTACTGTACAATCCATGTGGCTCCTCAGTAGTTACACTCAGCAGCAATCTGGGGCATGTAGCACAGTTCAGAGACTGCAGGGTGTAGGGAAGGTATGGGCCAGCATTTCAGTATTGCAGGAGGATGGGTGATGGGTTGAGCCTGGGTCTGTTAACTGAGCAGATACCTTGATTGTATTCTATTTAGGAGTGTTAGGAAGAAGTGAGCATGAAAGCTATTTGCTCGACACAGATGTGAAAATTCAGGTAGATTTGAAAGTGATGACCCAAGCTGTGATAATGGTTAAATAATGCCCCAAATGAGTCATCTCAGAATTAAAATACTGGRTGTTAAAGAGAGCCTGCAGGCAAATTAATTAGGCTAATCACACATCAGCAGTGTCCCCAACATAGAGATTGTGTTGTGATGCTGGCTGAACTCAGGACATAAAAGGTAAGGTAGGGTTAGATTGCATAGTGGAGTCAATGTCATCTCCTCTTTCTACAAGGAGAATAATGAAAGTCACTCTATTGGATGCTGGAGCAGTGACTAAAGGCAGGGCAGAGGCCCAGCTTTCAGRAATTTAGCAGTTAGACTTCTGGGGTAATTTCTAGAAGTTTGCATAACAACTTTCCTTCTGCCTTGTCAACTCCAACACTGTGTTACTTCCATCCCTTCCCGCTTCAATCCCCTTAAGTATCCTTACTGTGACTGTAGTTTTTAGGAAGGGTGGTATTCCCCAGCATTCTCTGAACAAGACCACATGCTGGCCACCCTGTGTGACCCTTCCCACTCTGCACACAAATGTCAGGTCTTGAGATGCAAAAGGRCTGAGCACCAGTTACCAGAAATGAGTGGGGGAAAGCATCTCAGGCCAGGGAATATGATAGGACAGATGCATGGTGCATGAGCCTGACTCCTCCCACACTGCTTGTTCTCAAGTTTTGACTTTCATTTCAAAGACAAATCAGGCCAGAGCTTTGATAAAAACCATAGAATAGGGCCCTGTTATGAGCAACTCTCCTTCTGAGCACAGGGATAGAAATAGAAAGTAGCTGGGGAATAAAAATGGTGAATWTTTTTACCTTTCATTCTTATTTATTTAGGGGCCTGTTGGTGTCTTCTAGAGATGCCTGTAGTTGCAAAGCCATGAGAAATCATAAAATGCCATTRCAGGATGCAAAGTGACTGGATCACAAGATACCTGGTCCATGACRTGGAGTTTCAGATTTTAGCCCTTTTTTACTTCTATCCTATATCCCTGGGTGGAGATGACCAAGCCAGAGGGAAATCAAGATCAAAGGAACTGCCTCAGTGTTTTTTACATCCCGTAGCTTGGGATGCACAGTACCTTGCTACCCATACTGTAATTTTAGTTCCCCTTGTGCCATGCTGTGCTATCTGTGTTGCTGTTGACCACAAGAAGAGAAAARGGTACTACTCAATCCCCTGATAGCTGGTATCAGCCAGTGTCCTAGACTTCCCTACTTAGGATGCAC